CACCCAAATATTTTTAACGGTAGCATAGCGTCTACATAAAATAGACCACAGATATTCATCTTGTTGAATGTAGCGTTATGTAGACGTTGAACATTCTTGAACAGTATTTTCTCTTCTGCTGTGTGTTAAAAAACTTTACAGTTGAAGCAATTGATGAAAATATTGATGTACAAATTACAGATGAATCATAGGACAATGATTTGTCTGTTTAAAAATCGATTTAAGTACATCATCAGATGTTCTTAAATCGAAATCTTCATATTCATCATCATTCTCATCACCATCGTCATTAACCTCAAATAAATGTCTGGGAAATATCTGAACTTTACAGAGAACCCGTGGGAAGAGGATCATAGCATAATGATTATCTGTTTGAAAATCATTAAAAATTTAGATTTTAGTACATCTGATGATGTACTATAATCTAAATCTTCATCTTCATCTTCATCATTATTATCATCACCATCGTCATCAACCTCACATTTTAGTATAAACTTTATATAATTATAAAGTTTATACTAAACCATGGTAAACCATTAATGAGTAGGCGAATTCTTTTCTAGGGCTAAGGTCTCATGCTGGTGTATTAATTACTACTGGGACTCATTTTATACTTCAATATTGTATCGACTTACCTGACAGGTTCGTCCGAGTTAACAATTTACAAATATCTTGTCCTTTACTGACAGAATCGTAGAATGACTGACATTGTAGTGATAACGCTCCGTGCAATATAAAGTTTTTGGAGAAATAAACAGTAATCATCATCAGTTGAGAAGCGCTGTCTTTCTAAAAGTAAAATTTGTAAGTAGTCTCTTTTTTTTTATATTTTCATAATTAACTTGCACGTGTTTTATTTTTCCTTTTTAGTACTCACTTGAAGCATTGTGTCAAATTTAGCAGTTACGGTATCTAAACATACTTTAATGTATAATAATACATGCAAAAAGCTTTCAACCATATGGTACAGGATCTGAAAAAAAGAGAACAGTCAAGAATCGAACTTACAATCGTCTAGTGATAACTAAACACATATACTAACCAAAATTCCAAAAGTACGATTACAGATATTGTAGCACTTTAGTATGCCGTCATATGCCTGGAACAGCTTTCGACACATGTGCTGATCACGATTACCACCAGAAGTTATAGTTACATAATTCCAAGCAATAATATTTTTTTGAAGGAAATTCAATGAGCTGGTAGCGTATATCATATTTAGATCAAAACTTAATAACAAAATTATACTCCATAACAATGAACTGTGAACGCCTTCGTATAGTATATAGCCACATGTGATATAACCTACAGCGAAAACTAAGAACATGAACACAGCAATCCAATTGCAGACCGTGCACTTTTTTAAATTTTGTTTGAACATAAGGACAACTTCCTGGATGATAATTACGAAGTCGACATGATCATTCGTTTGGGTCATAGCAGCTATTGCATTTATCACAAACCCCACTGAGTAAAAACTCACTTCAAAAACAAATAAGAAAACCAAATAAACGCCTGAATATTTAGCTCTTTCTTTATTTAAGTAGAAAATACCGGAACGACAACAGTAAGTAACTATGAACATAACTGCTGCTAGCACTGACATAACATTGGATTGAAAGTTATTTGGAGAAATGTAGTTATTCCTGATACCATATTTAGGACAAAATATTATGTTCTGCATCAGATTTAATGGCCGAAACATTGCCTGTAGGTCTGCAGTGACGAAATGATTCATTCCAAAAAACTTTAAGAACTTTAGGGGTAGATGAAGTAACCCGGCAGTCTAATGTATCCCTCATTAAAACTGAAGGGTGAAGAAGTAGGTATCGACACATACAGTGAATCAAATGTTTTTTATTGATTGTGAATGAATTAAATAGCTTTGATCATTTCAACAAATTAATTTCATGAGTAATATCTTATAAAAATTGTATGATTTAATTACGATAGCGATGCTTCCTTAATGTGATGAACTTATATACGACCCTGACCCCTGACCTACCTGCGACACACTTCCTACTTCACTACACACTTCCTACATCTACTTTTCCTTAGAAACAATATGTATTTCCTTGCTATTCATTTTTATCACCATTTTTTTCCCATACTTAACCAAATTTCAGTTTATTTGACAGTTCTTATAACTGTCAAATAAACTGAAATTTGGAAAATCTGAAATTTTACTCTGTAACGTGAAAAAGACCATTTATAATTATGTAGCCTCGTATACTTATTACAGTATTATAACTTAACGTAAATAGATGGTAACGGATTACAATAACTCATCCAATTCCATAAATTATCTTAAACTAATTAACTTAACTCATTAACCTATCCCATTCCGTGTAGTGACAGATTAAGAATACGGAAAGTCACTACCCTAATTCATCCCGTGGGTTTCGTAAGAGCCGACTAAGGGCGCAAAACTACGCAGGACACCAGCACTGCAAAAAGAAGGAAAACTTGACACAAACCCTATACCAACCCGTCTGGCCAGCGTGGTATAGTAGGCCAAAGCCTCCTTTCTAAGGAGAGGCCTATGTGCAGCAGTGGACTATTAAAGGCCGTTGATGATGATGGTCCAATTCTACTTACTTATAAACTTTTAACTTCTTCTTCTTTTTATCGCGTTTGGAAAACTCTGGCTGCGTAAAAATCTATAGTTAGTTACTTAGAATTTACCTATTATTTTTCAAATACCTAGTGTAACTCACAATTAAGACTTATATAGCTACCATAACTGCGAGATAATAACTTTAGCTACAGTCTGTTATGGAACAATAAGTAAATTTAACATACGTTAGCAACTGAATAAAGAATGTTTTCCTTTTGTTATATGTTACGAAAGTTGTCTCCATTGTAACAAATGGTGTTACAATGGGGAGTATTCAAGACACAAATATTTTGACAAGAATAGTGACATGCAAAAACATTAAATTATATCAAAATAATTAATTATGACAAGCAGAGTAAAAAAAATTACATTTATATATTTTATTTTATTTATTTATTTTATGATGGGGGGAGGGCCAAGCAAGCAACCTGTTACATGATGAAGAGTGACTTCCGTCTTAAATAATATAATATGTTGGTTTCGTCAACAAGTCAAGTATACAATATAATAAACAAAAGAAAAATACTATAAGCCGGAAATCCATTTTGTTTGTATAAACTTTTGTAGTAAAGTATATTTCCAAATTTTCTGACTATAATTGAATCTAAATATTATAAATTTCGTATTATATTCGCATAAATATAGTATGGTTTGACCCCCTACGAGCAGAGAGGTCACCAAGTGCGAGTTTATTTGACATCTACTCGATCGTCGCGGTGACTGCGTTCAACGCTGCGATTGGCCCGCACTGAAATCTAAACCAATCGCAACGCTTAACGCGCTCGTCGTCGAGATCGAGTCGATGTGAAATAAACTTGCACTCGGCCCTCTGATGGTAAGTGACTACCATCATCCATAGACATCTGCAATTCAAGAGTCACAATTGAGTTGCCACTTTTGGGCGGATACGTAACTAGTCCAATGCGTAATAATTTAAAGACGTAAATAGGTCAAGTACCGTATTTATAATTCTTTGTAGCATGCTGTAACAATTATTAATGTATTTGAATTAGAAACAATATCATTTACATAACAAAAGGTATCGACATTGTGTAATCGACTGCGACATTTGTCAAAATATAAAACTATACTTACATAGAATCCGTGTGGTGATGGATTAAGAATACGAAGTATCACCGTCCCTCTTCATACCGTGGTTTTCGTAAGAGCCGACTAAAGACAGACGAGACGAGAAAACTACACAGCACAAGAACACTGTAAAGAGAAGGCAAACTTGTCACAAACCCTACATATCAACCCGTCTGGCCATCGTGATATTGCCCGTATATTAGTTCAACCTCCTTTCTAAGGCCTATGTTCAGCAGTGGACTATTAAAGGCTGTTTATGTGATGTGACTTACATATATTAAAAATAAAAAAATAGGGGTGGGTCTCCCTTGTCATTTAGGGATATGAAAAATAGATGTTGGCCGATTCTCAGACCTACCCGATGTGCACACAAAATTTCATAAAAATCGGTCCATCGGTTTCGGAAGAGTATGGTAACTAACATTGTGACACGAGAATTTTATATATAAGATATTAGCAGTGGATCTGTCCTCCTCTCCTATACAGGCGCAGAGTGGCACACCGTGTGGTTTTAGTCAAACCGATTCCGACACACCACCCCGCCGCAAACCCCGGTAGGGTGACGGCCCGAGGGGGTTTACACACGTAAAAAAAAGAAAAGGGTTTGCTTCAATCTTTTAAAAGGTTGCAGTGCTGTTGTCCTGCGTGGTTTGCTCCCTTAGTCGGCTTTTACGACACCCACGGGATAAATAGTCCAACTCCGTTTTCTTAATTCGTCACCACACGAATTTTAAGATACATTTTTTAATACTACATCATCTTTGTAATCACACCGCTCACTTATATTTGCATTCTTCTTTTATCTTCTAATTTACTCCGTACATACTTAATAGTTTTATACTATCACGGCCATTTAGTTTTATTAATTTTATCTTATGAAGCTCTATCTATCTAGCTATCTATCTATCTAGTACACTATTCGGCGACTTTACTATTCCTCGCTCATAAAACTATTTGTTTTAATATATTAACATAAATTAACTCTAATACTGATTCATAATCAGCTGTTGCATAGCGCCATGTTGAGAGTAGTGATGCCGAGCACTCCGAGCAGTCGAGTTGCGGCTCAGCCACAGAACGAACGCGGGAGCGTTCTTTTTTTAAATTAGTGGCGTGTAATTACGCGTGTATTCGAATAAAAAAAGTGTTTTATTTTTAAAAAAACTTTTTTATCTGTGCCTAAAATATTACGACGTAAAATTGGCGCTATAAAATAATGTGTTTTAGGCTATAAGTTAGTGTTTTCAGTGAATTTTATTCACCGATTTTCAATTTGTGTTATAATTAAGGAATCATGGCTTATATGTAAGTATGATAAAAGCGTAATATATTTACAGTAGTTATGTTTATTTATAGTAAGTAATCTAGATTTCAATACCACTGAATATCAAGCTGTATCAGACTCTTGAAGAAATATTCAAATATTATGGACTTAGATTATTATAAAATGTAATAACTATCAAAGTTTTCACAAATTTTTAATTCCTGTTTATTTGCACAAGTATAATATTTGAACATTTTTATTTTTCTGTAGAGACTGTCAGATATCCAACAAAGTTCGGATATTTTGCATCTTGTACACACTTCTATACTTCTTATAACAACATAAAGTACTGTAACATTAACAATATAAAGTCTATTAAAATAGTAGATACATTTAAGGTTTTGCGTTCAAGGCCCGTTTAAGGTAATCGCTTCCTAAGTGTAGGTGTACATTTGCAGACGTAGTCACACATTTGGCAACATATTTTAACTAACAAACGTTCCTAGCATAGCTTTTTACACAGCGAACAAAAAATAATAAAAATATTAGTACCTATTTAAAATCTATTTATTATATTTTTGTTTTAAGTTTAATATTTTATTATTTTTGTAACTAAACTCAAGCCTAAAACCGTTTTGGTTTAAAAATAACGTTTCAATAGTACCTATGACGTAGTTTTGATAAATAGGTCTAAAACAGGGATTCTCAAAGTGGTCGATATCGAGCCCTTGGGGTCGAAATCGTTTCCCGAGGGGTCGATATAAACAAAAACCGACTTTGGGGGCCGACGAGGTATAAAAATCAACTCCTATTAATTAACACAAATTCTTATTTAAAACTTAATAGATACTGTATAAGTTGTGTTAGGAACGTGTACCTACCAACTTATTATAAGAATGTCTAATTTATTTTGTTAAATGTTGGTGAGAAAATAATGTCAAGTATACTCAATTAACCAAAGGCAAAGTTTTTGATTAGTAAGTATTTTGTATTAATCGGAAAAAACTAGAGATAGGATTTTTAAAGTAATTTGGCTAAGAGGGTCTGAGGTATCAGTTCATTTTGGAAAAGGGGTCTCTTGCCCGAAATGGTTTGGGAATCCCTGGTCTAAAATATCACTAGGGTCATTGACAAGCTATTTTAATATATACGTAACCGTACGAAGTTTATTGATAATCGCATTGCAATCGCAATATAAACAATGTTTACATTTTAATCTACATATTAACTTTAACTCCGGTAACCTCGGTGGAAAGTAACAGCAGAATAATAATAATAACCTCACACATTTCACACACGGCAGTCTGATCCCAAACTAGGCAAAGCCCCTTTTTTTTCCTTGCGGAAATCCCCTCGGATAGCCCCGGTGGCATGTCGGACTCGAACCGACTAAAACCGCACGCCGTCTCGGGTACTAATAGCCGGGGAACCAAGTATACCCAAGAAAGGAAGTCCCTGGTGCAGGCAAAGCCCCTGCATTATGGTAAGGTGGCGTCCATTAATGACGTAAGGCGGTCAGGGGGGGGAGGGTCGAACTGAATCTCATCTAGTCTTACTTTGAAGAGAGGGGGGTCTCGGCAAATATCACGTATTTTTTTTAAACCTGGGTTACATTAAGTAAAACATGTACCTCCTCGGAAATATGGCCAAATTTTATACAATAATATTTGCTAGCCTACTTTTGCAGCAATCCTCAATACTAGTCTAAAATAAAAATACTAAGCAATTTTTTTTTTCTTTATAATAAATCTGCCTTTACACTTAAAACACATTTAACAAATCTCAAGTGAGATTGTGGGATGGGAGAGGGAATCAATCAATTCTCACGATATCTATCTCTGTATTCTTACGTAATTAATGGACGCTCCCGTAACCAGACTGCTGATAAACACACTTATACATTTCTAAATACATACATATTATGTAAAAATTACACCGGAACACAGAACAAATGATTGTGCTCATCACACAATATTTGTCCTGGGTGGGAATCGAACCCACGAAAATTCAGTTCCGATCAACTCTCAATCTCGCAAAAGTCATAAAACGTATTTACGTAGTAAAATAGTGAAATATGACTATAAGACCAGCAGATTACCGATTCAATTTTCACATTACAGTCAACGTTAGATGTTTAATACTCTACTAAGAAAATACCCTTTATGACAGTTGTGAGATCGAGAATTGATCGGAACTGAATTGCGACCGTACTTTTATTACGAGAATTGGCCTTCTGTTTTCTGTCACTCCCGTCGAGTTGGCCCATATGCGCTGACGCAGAGCTCTCCCGCGGTTACGATAGTTTTTAGCCCTCTCACTCATTGTTCAAATCAAATAGTCCCTGGTGTCCTGTTACATAATTTCGTCCCTTTTCAAGAAATCACTCCCGCAGGGGATTAGTGTAATTTTATTTCACATCGACTCGTTCGATTAGTGAAGAGTTTAGTTCGAGAACCCTGACGATCGAGCAGAAGTGAAATAAACTTCCACTTTGGGCCTCTGATGGCAAAAAGAGCGAGACAAAACACGTTACAAATCAAAAAAAAAATTTAAATTAGTTATGTTCGATATTCCTCCAACTGCGAAAAAGGATTAGTGTTCTTTGACCTTAAGTTCTTATCGACCTAATCACTTCAAGCTTTATCAACACTGAGCCTTCCTTATTGATATAACTTTACGATAACTATACGATATTTTGCTTAAGTTATTATTTGCTTAATATATACTACATACACACGGCACATAAAATAGGTACGTGGTGAGAGTTAATGTCTGGATTGCATCTTTGAATACTATTGCATCAGTCCGAGTTTATAACCTTCAGTTGTTTAAACAGGCTGTACACATATTTACCTATAGCAACTACGTTGTATACAAAAAAAAGAATTCTATCTAAAATATTTCGAGTTATGAATAATTAGGCATGTAGGTAGGTATGTGACACATTTTTATTTACATCCATACTTCCATACTTATATTATAAATGTGTAAATGAGTTTGTTTGTCATTAAACCGATTTGTCATAATCATCAGCATAGTAAATGACAAATGTGAAAGTGAGTTGGTTTGTCACGCTTTCACGCCTAAACCACAAAACCGATTTACAAAATTATTTCGCCAATGGTAAAGCTACATCATCAGCGAGTAACATAGACTACCTTTTACCGCAATATCTTACATACACGCGGGCAAAAGCTAATAAATTACAAATGTGAAAGTGAGTTGGTTTGTCACGCTTTCACGCCTAAACCAAAAAACCGATTTACAAAATTATTTCGCCAATGGTAAAGCTACATCATCAGCGAGTAACATAGACTACCTTTTACCGCAATATCTTATATACACGCGGGCAAAAGCTAATAAATTACAAATGTGAAAGTGAGTTGGTTTGTCACGCTTTCACGCCTAAACCACAAAACCGATTTACAAAATTATTTCGCCAATGGTAAAGCTACATCATCAGCGAGTAACATAGGCTACTTTTTCTCGCGATAAACTACATACACGGAGCCGCGGACAAATGGTAGTCATTCTATAATAGCAAGTTATGCCCGTCAGGCCCAGTAACGGGCCAGGTACCGCAGACGACTTAGACGCCGGAGGTTGCAAAACGATCTCCGTCCTCCATAAGCGCAGGCCTGGGGGTGATAGGTGAGGAAATCTGACAGATTTCCTCACATATTCATGCGCGCCCTTTCGGGAGTACAAAGGGGACATAGGGATTCCCACAAAGGAGGGGGTCATTTACACGCGGTAAATGGCCCGAGGTACATCGGGGTATCAGGGATTTCCTTCCTAGGGTACACCTAGTTCTCCGGCAACTGGTACCCGAGACGGCGGGTTCGGCCATAAAAGAAGAAGTCTAAACCATTTTTCAATTAAAGTGATATCGAATAATAATAATTCATTTATTGCATCAAGTAACCAGGACTCGCACTTAACTTAAAATTATTATTAACATTCTTTAAAGGTGTACAATGTTTTTTTCGATTTTTTTACAAGTATTTTATAACGTATGTGGGTCACCGCTGTGCAATCCCGGCAGAGACAGTACAGCAGCGACTCACATACGTACAATCCAGCCTACTCCATATCATGCTTAGGATGCAGTTAGTGCTGGCTCGCACCCTGCGCACCAGGGATGCACACCTCTTCCGCGTCGTTGCGTAAAAGTAGGCTACGTGTGAATGATAGAGGAGAATGGAAGAAGAAAAGCAATTACCGACCCCAATTAGATTTGAGGAAAGGGTAGGAAGATAATGATGACACACATCTATGGGACCCAACGAGCAGTCAGTACCTTTGAATGTATACCTAATAACAGTCTTTCTCCCTAAGGGACGTCATTATGATATTTTCTACTATGCTTTGTTTATTTATTAATTTATTAAAGATTTCCCGCAAACATATTCGGGTTTTCGGCAAAAAAATTCAATGGTTTTCGACTCAGAATCATGGTCTCAATACACTACTTCAGTATTCGGTACGATGTCCCTTACACCCTGTATCATCATCATCATCAGCCTATCGCAGTCCACTGCTGGACATAGGCCTCTCCCATTGCACGCCACTTGGATCGATTTTTGGCTTCTCGAATCCAGCTCCTGCCAGCCAGCCTGTGGGCGTCCTACACTACGTTTGCCGAGACGCGGTCTCCTTTCAAGAACTCGTTTTCCCCAACGGTTGTCGGTTCTGCGGCTAATATGGCCAGCCCACTGCCACTTCAGCTTGCTGATCCGGTACACCCTGTATATAATACATATATAGAATAAAGATAATCTTAAGGTGTTATTCTGATATATCCGTTAACAAGTCTCAATAGACACAAGAAATATTAATAATAACCTCACACATCTCACACACGGCCGTCTGATTTCAAACTAGGCAGAGCCTGTACTATGGCAACCAGACTGCTGATAAACATACTTATATATTTCTAAATACATACATATCTATATATATATATATATATATATATATATATATATATATATAAGAGATTGCCACGTATATAGTCACTCATCACGATATCTCTGGAAAC